CTTCCCTCTTCAGGACAGGAATAGAGCAGACAGTCCTGGAGTTACATGAGCAAGCATAAAGAGGGGTAAGGTACTAACCGAGCTAGGAAATCCCAGCTAAACATGCAGGCAATAGAGCCACACTACTCAAGACAGCCCAGATCTGGGTGGGTGGAAGAGCGTCGTCTTCCTGAGTCATGGAGGTGCTGTCCACGCAGCTGTGCAGAACTGCAACCCAAAGGACAGGTCCAGGAAGGCAAAACAAAACTCTTATCTCTGTTCCGTTCCTTTCCTAAGAGGCAGCAGGCTACTACAGCCCTATGCAGCCCTGAAACTAGTGAAGGAAGCAAGTCCGCGACTGTGCAATTACAGGGTCAATGCATTGGCTTTGGCTGTTGTATTTAATACAGCATTGGAAACAACTGGAATGTCTCTGGCAACTCTCTGAAAGGGTGGCATATTGGGTCCTTCCAACGTGTCCAGGATACCTGCAGGAAACAGGAGGAAGAGGAGAGTGGCAAGAATTAGTTCAGAAGCAGGTGGTGTGTTTCTTCTTGTTTTACTGTCTGGAATCAAGTGGCAGAGCCCAGGACTTGGAGGCAGTGGGAGGAGACATCTTGCCCCTCAAGAATAAGCAGCAATAAACACCTCCATCCAGAGACCACAGCATGCAGATCAGAGTTTATCCTTGGGGCAGGGCAGTGTAGATCTTTTCTCTCTGAGGGTGCTAAATCCAGCCCCTTGTCATTTGACCTGAGCAAAGACTGCTAGGAACTCTCCTCTGCCAAAGCAGCCTGACAGATCATTTCTGCTTCACTCCAGCACATAACCTCCTCTTAGACCAACTGTTTGCTTTCATTTTGAGATATACCTGCAAGGCTTATATCAGGAATTGCAGTTGGAAGTGTGATATGGAATTTTTATCACTGCAATGCAATATTTGGAAGGAAGTGCGCATGCTGATGGCACTTCCTCTCAGTTACCCTCTCAAGACTGATAATCAGTCCTGGAGATTCTTGAAGAAAATTGCTTGGAGTATATTCTCAGCAAATGAAATATGGGAGAAGTTGCATATTAGGGCTGAGAACCTTGGCCACAAATCAGGAGCCAGGAAAGAACAGTGTTTAGCTCTAAAAGGACTTGTGATGCTATGCCAAAATTATGCAATTTCAATTTATTTTATTTTATTTTTTTTAAAGGAGACTAATAGTTTGTTAAAAGAAAAACAACAAAACACAAAGACCACTGAATCTGTATAGCCTGGTAGAAAGTACTGACTGCAGAGGATGCAGCTTTTGCTGTGCTGTACAACTTAAGATAATAAAGGTATTAGGTAAAGAAGGAAAGACTTTAATGACATATTTCCTCATCAGAGTAAAGCAGCCTGATTTTAGCAAGGTTCAGGAAGGGACTGGACAATAAAAATAGTCACTGCTTTAATACTTGTGGGGAAAGATGAAGCCTGCTTGCAGCTTGTCTTGAGTACTGCACACACAGACTACCCCACATTAACATGCTGACCTATTTTGACATCTCCTGCTAACAGTGGTAGTGCTAGTCACTCTTGGGCATGGAACTGGCCCAGATGCCCTTAGGTCAGTTCTAAACTGCCCATCCTTCCTCTCTGAGAAAGGAAAAAGCACCACCTCCTCCTCCCCCACATCTAAGAGGCACTGCCATCGTGTTTCCCTTGCTTACCTTCTACCACCTTGTGATAAGCAAAGTGCAGATAGAGCAGGAAAAGCATATGCAGAGCAGCAAGAGTTCCACACAGGATGAGCCGCTGGGTATGCCCCACTGTGCGTGACACCAACACAGCAACCTAGGAGAGAAGTGGAGACTAAGAGACTGGATAACTGCAACATCAGCCTCTGGCACTGCATTCAGGAGCACACAGGAGGATGGTTTAAATAGTGAGAGCTGGTAGAAACACCACTCAGAGCCTTTCTCACAGGTGGCACCAAGAAATTCTGAGTAATCTGACTTTGTTTTGGGTAGATGAATCTTGCCCAGTTTCACCAAGTGTTCAGGAGGCTCAGGCAAGTTTCTCTGGAGCAGCAGGGGACATAAGACAGCAGGCTTATTGCAGCTGTCAGAATGGGTGAGGACAGTCAGCCAGGCCACACACTAGTAGCCATATGACCCAGAAGCATCAGGCTGTTCTTTAAGCACCTTACCCAGCTGTGGAATCACTTGCCTAGCCCAAGGATCAGAAAGCAAGAAACACTTTCCTCCTCTCTGGACTGCCTGTCACTTACCATTCGAAGTGTAGAAAGTCCACCAACGACTAACCAGAAAATATAAAAGAGGGAATGGAAGTGGATATTATAGGTGACAAGCAGAGTGATGCAGTGTCCAAAAAGGCCATAGCCCTGACAAAACAAAAACATCCATGTTACAGTTGTCACCTGCACACAAAGGGTCATTGAGCAATGAGCAGCCTACATTTGCAATGTTTTAGCAAGGCAGTACTTCACAAACCGCATGCTCCCAGCTAGAATGTCAAACAGCACTACAGTTTTAACAGCAGCTCACACCCAGCCAATCTGTCTGAAGGATTCGCATGATTGTCAGAGATTGCAGCAGTCTAGGAAACAGAAGGAAAAAGCTTCTGATCCCAGAAAAATGGAAATCTCCCTAAGTGGGAAACTTGCAAGCAGAAACAGCTGCTTTGTGCTATCTCTGGGACAGGTCAGGTCCAAAGAGCTTCTTGGATTTCCAAGTTGTCCTGATGCAACAGGATTATGGTCATCTGGGACCACTAATTTACAAAGATGTTTCTAGGAAAAGCTCACAGGTCACTCTCCCTCTGGAGCACCCTACAGCCAGCATCCATCCTGGGGCAGCCCCATCCATACATACCAACAGCGACAGCATCTGCACCATCGTAATTTGGGCATTGCACAGATATGCCAGGAAATAGATGAAAGAGGAGACGCCCAACCAGTAACCAAAGCAGGTGCCAATGGCTGTGCCCATCAGTGTGCCTTCCCTCTGTGGAGACAGCAGCAGTTTGAAGAGAACTCAGAGAAAGGCCTGCCAGCACCTAAGTTCCACTGCAGAGAGTACCCAGAGCTTTCCTAACATAATCACATAGCTAGCTTAACCTTAACAGCAGGCAGGTTGCCCCATGATCTGCACCCCAACTCTCCCAGCAACAGAGCATCAGGACTTTCTGATGCAACTTTCCTCCCCTCTCTAAACCAAAAGGTGCTTCTTCAGATCAAATCTGCTTTTTATCAGGATGCTGATGTGATATGGAAGAGGTTTCCTCTCCCTCTGCAGTGTCATTATGGCTATCCCAAACCCGGTCAAATCGCAAATTAATCACTGAGACTTGCCGTACAATGATAGTGTCCGAGGTCTTCATCCCATGAAGAAGGATGGCCACCAGTGTGAAGACCAGCATGAGGGGTCCATAAAGCTCACCTGCGATCTTCTACATGTAAAGAGAGAGATGGGAAGGTTTGGTTTGTGCTCGTGTCTTCCAGGCTCTCCACCCTGAATGGCATAATGAGCATCTCAACAGAGTTTTATCACCTGAGGAGCATCAGCAAGGCCACTGCTGACAGAAGCCACACAGAATAGGCTGTGTGGTGAGTCAGAGTGGTGTTAAACAGGATGCAGAAATGGGTGAAGTCTAGAGTTCTAGAACTGTACCAGCGTTAAAGGTAGCAGAAGGGTAGCAGCGTTAAAGGCAGTGCTGGCACAGGCTCCGCAGGGCAGTGGTCACAGCAGCGAGCTTGTTGAAGAAGCATCCAGACAATGGCCTCAGCCATATGGTCTGATTTTTGGGTGGTGCTTTGTGGAGCCCAGAGTTGGGCTTGGTGAGCCTGGTGAGTCCCTTCCAACTTGGGATATTCTATGATTACAGTTCTGTGAGAATGGGGTTTGGAACAACTGTAGGAAAGGATTTACCAATATTTTGAGGGAGGTGAATATCTAACAAACTTGGATCCTTAATAATACAGACTAATTAAATTTGAAGGGTCTCTGCTGAACAGTCACTCAGGCCATGGGAGAGAGAACTCACCTGTGGGAAATTGATCATCTTCACAGGAACCATGGACTCCAGCAATCTGCATTACAGCAAATCAGGGAATGGCATCAGGAGAGTTAATAAGATGCTTCAAAAAGCAACAGATCCCGTGCACCCACCGCCAATGCTTCCTGCTGTGACTCGTGGGGGTCAGAGAGCGTTTTTAAAGGGTTACATGAACTAAGTAAAGGCAACCGTGCTGTCGGGGGCTATAGCTTTGCTGGGAAGGATTCACAAACCCACTGCTGTGGGGGCCAGCCAGCCAGTTCCAGCCCCGCATTCCCCGCCCACCTGGTGCGCACTTGGACGGGCTCCACGTCGAAGTAGGGTCGTAGGATGTCTATGTTGGCGTAGAGGCTGAAGGCCTTGGAGGCCTGCCTCTTCCCCACCTGCCACATCTGCAGAGAGAAGGGCGCATGCAGCGGCAGGGTAGGGGACGGCGGGGGCGGTCGCGGGGCGGGAGCACGCTCACCTGGTCGGCCACCTGCCGCCCCAGCTGCCCCTGCAGCCCCTTCATGCCCAGGAATTCGCCGTCCTCCTCCCCGCCGGCCCCCGCCTCGCCCTCCGCCTCCTCTTCCTCCTCCTCCTTCATACGCTGGTGCATCTCGCCCATGTCCTCGAAGCTGGAACCCGACGTGTCATCCATGTTCTCCATGTCGATGACGGCGGAGCCGCCGCCCTGCTCCGGGGAACAGAGCGTCAGCGCCCGCCCGGGCCCTGCTCTCCCCGCCACGGCGCCCGCGAGGGACGGCCCCACCTGCACGTTGTCCTCAAAGCCGCCCCACTCGGCGGGGCCGTTCCTGCCGCCGCCCGGCGCGGACATAATGTCCGGCCCTGCGAGCCGCCGAGCTCCGAGGAAGGAGGGGGACGCGGACGTGACGGTTCCGCGGGCGCCGTGCCGGATCTCGCGAGAGAGCGTGCGAGTGGCGCCTCCATCTTGTGTGCGGCGGTGCGGCGCGGCCGCGCCTGGGCGGGCCCGGCCCTCCCGCTTCCGGCGGCGATGGCGGCCAAGCGGAGCACGGACGAGATGCGGGAGCGCGTGGTGCTGGGCGAGTTCGGCGTCCGCAACGTGCGTAGAGCGGCGGGCTGCGGGGCGGCTCACGCCTCGCCCCCCGCTCCCTCACAGGCTGCGCCTCCCGCAGGTCCACACCACCGATTTCCCCGGCAACTACCCCGGCTACGACGACGCGTGGGACCCGCGGCGCTTCGAGGAGGTGAGTGAGGGCGGCGGCGGGGCCCCGTGGTCGGTTCTGGTGTGACGCGGCGCGGGGCCCGTGCAGGCGTTCCGCGTGGACGTGGTGCGGGAGGAGGACGGCCTGCTGGAGTTCGACATGGTGGGAATCGACGCGGCCATCGCCAACGCCTTCCGCCGCATCCTGCTCGCCGAGGTACCGCGGGGCTGGGGCGGCTCCTGGGGGAAGGGGTGGCGAGAACGGTGCCGGTGCGGGTGGATAGTCCGTATGTGGATACTGTGGTAGGCATCTTACCGCCTTGGTCTCTTGTCTCCCTGAGGTGCCAACGATGGCTGTGGAAAAAGTGTTTGTGTACAACAACACGTCCATCGTGCAGGATGAGATCCTGGCGCACCGCCTGGGCCTTATTCCCATCCGGGCCGACCCTCGACTCTTTGAGTACAGGAACCAAGGTGAGGGTCTCGGGTTAAGCAGCGGTGGTGAGGGTGGAGCCCATAATGAGGAGCTAGGGTGACGCCATAAGAGCATGAAGGGACCCCTGAAGACCATCTGGTCCAAGTCTCCTGCAGTGAACAGAGACACCTACAGCTAGATCAGGCGCTCAGAGTGCTGTCCAGCCTTGCTTTGAAAGTCTCCAAGGACAGGGCATCCACAGTATCTCTGGGCAACCTGTTTCAGTTGCCTCACCATTCTCACTTTCACCGCTCTCACTTTATATCTAAAGCAAATCTACCTTCTACAAGGTTCAGCCCATTTTCTCTTGTACTATCACAGCAGATCCTGCTGTAAAGTCTGTCCCTTTCTTTATTGTATGCCTTCTTTAGGTACTGAAAGGCCGCTTCCAGGTCTCACTGCAGCTTTCTCTTCTCCAGGCTGAACAGCCCCAGCTCTTTCAGTCCATCCTCATAGGAGAAATGTTCCATCCCTTGGATCATTTTTGTGGCCCATCTCTGGATATGCTTCAACAGAGCGGAAGTGCAATTCCATAAAGATACTGTTTTGCCCTTTCCAGGAGACGAAGAGGGGACGGAAATTGATACTCTGCAGTTCCAGCTGAAAATAAAATGCAGCCGGAATCCTCAGGCAGCCAAGGAATCATCAGACCCAAATGAACTGTATTTCAATCACAAAGGTGAGAGCTCTTTCTGCCTGTCCTAAAAGTAGGTGCAGCTTTTTGTTTTTTCTCTTGTTCACTTTTTTCTTTCTCTCTCTTGGGATTTAGCCTTGTGAGCAGAGACAGCCAATTCCCTCACAGTATACAGAGCTTACTTTTGCCATCCCCAGTCTCATACAGGTCAGCAACCTGTTTTCTGAGGCAGCAGCTGGCTGATGTTTGTGCCTTCTCTTGGCAGTGTACAGTAAGCACATGACATGGGTGCCCTTGGGGAATCAGACAGACCTCTTTCCAGATGCTGACTTCCGACCTGTCCATGATGACATCCTCATAGCACTGCTGCGACCTGGCCAGGAAATAGATGTGCTCATGCATTGTGTCAAGGGCATAGGTGAGTGCTGGGTCTGGGCTTGGGAGCAGGTGTGCTGGTGCTTGCACTTGAGCACAGCTATGTGATGGGAAACAGTGGAGAACGGGCTTGACCCTGAGGCCTGTCCTCACCCTTAATTCTTAACTCTTTGTACAGGTAAAGATCATGCCAAGTTTTCTCCTGTGGCCACAGCTAGTTATCGACTGCTTCCTGACATTACTCTCCTGCAGCCTATTGAGGATGAGGCAGCTGAGATGTTACAGAAGTGCTTTTCCCCTGGAGTCATCGAGATCCAGAACATCAAAGGTACTTTCTTCCTAGTTGTTAAGTGCCTTGTTCCTAACAAGTGTTAGCAGAATTTGAATAGAGACAATAGAGAGCCAAACCATGTAGGGAAAAAAAACCCACACTATGATGTTGTCTTGCTGATCAGCAACAGTTTGTGCTATTTTGAGCCTGGTTGTATTGGCTGAGCGGCTGTCCCACACAGATGTTTTCAGTGATGAACTGAGATGTCTCTGAAATGCTTAGGTGTGTCATGCCTGTCTGTAGAGCCCCATGGTACTCTTTAGCTGTCTGGGTAGCAAGCTTGTTCTTTGTAGCAGCTGAGCATGGAGAGGACTTGTGTCCTGCCCAGGAGTACATACAGGCTGTGTTTGGCTTGGAACTGTTCAAGAAAATGAATTCTGCCAGGCTGGAGTTTTGTGTTAGGGATGTGCTAATTCTTCTATATGTGGCTTTGATGCCTCTCCTGCTTGAGGCTTTTGTGACCCCAAGGTACCCATCTGCTGCCGCTGCCCATCTTGTTTTGTTTTCTCCTTTTAGGAAAAAAGGTGGCAAGAGTAGCCAATGCACGGTTGGACACATTCAGCAGGGAAGTCTTCCGACATGAGGGTCTGAAAAACCTTGTGCGCCTAGCAAGAGTGCGAAATCATTACATCTGTAAGTGGCCCATTTTCTGTAGAACAGAGAGCCCTATTCTGCTTTGTGCAAACAAGCAGGGGCTGGCCAGAATGTGTACTTTGGTCTCAGTCTCCCACTTCTCCCTGGCATCGTTGGTCTTCCTATGTTTGTATTCCTGTGGGGACCCACTGAGATTGTGGTTTTGTGCAGCTTCGGGGTAGGATGTGTTCGTGCTTCTTGATGGCTTATTTCTTCCAGCTGCAAAGGTCTGGCTTGCAGAAGTACAGCGTAAGGGAAGATGAGGAGCAAATGCTGGAGCCAGCTGCAGGCTGAAGCTGTGCAGTAGCCGTGCTGACTTGTATCTCTGTGCAGTTTCAGTGGAGTCGACAGGTATCTTGCCTCCAGATGTGCTGGTGACTGAAGCCATCAAGATACTGATGGGAAAGTGTCAGCGTTTCCTGAATGAACTGGACACGGTGCCTATGGAGTGAGCAGGCTGTAGCCAAGAAGCACAACCCTGTGCTGCTGTTTCGGGCTTCCTACTCTGGCCTGCAGGAGTGGTTCTTCTGCCCTAGGCATAAGTTTTGAGATGGATTTGTTAAGAGCCCTGGGACCATCTCTTTCAACTTGTTTTATGTGTGATGAGCCTCAGTGAGGAGATGCACTGAAATAAAAGCTTTCTTTTACCTCTGTCTGCTTCTGTGCAGTTAACAATTGTGAGACCGTAACATACAAAAAAAAGTGGCAGCAGGTCTGAAGCCGAGTAGTATTTATTGTAGATTGCAGGCAGTGTGTAAAGAGTACCAATAAGGCAGTGTAATAAAGCTCTTAGCAGCAGGCCCATGAGAACTTAATAAATTGCTGTCAGTTTATGTCTGTTTTGAAGATGTCTCAGAATAGCTGTGTGGAAGCTGTGTTGTCTTATAGTACTGGGCTTCTGTGTATAGTAGGAATGGTGGGGTTTAAAAACATGCTCTAGAAAAACTGATTGTCCTTGTTATGTATCTCAAGGTAAGGCATTCCTTTCTGGGCATTAGTTTTCACCACCCTCTTCTCTCTTTCAGTGATGGAGTTTTTTGGGGTGTGGTAAAAGGCAAATGTCAATTAAATGCCTCTACCACGGGAAGCCTGGGATAACATGCAAGGTTAGCATTGGGATGAACACTGCTACGGTGCAAGTCTCTGGGCAAGCTGATAATGTCAGAGAATGGCTGTGAGCAATGGTACATTCCAGCTACTCAAAGTAATCTTCACTACAACACCAGGATCGAGCGTAGCAAATCATACTTTCTATCTGTTTCATTATGATGTACTTATTCATACCGTATGCATTGTTATAGGTCTTGGCAGTGGCTACGCTGTAGGGAATGCTGTGTTCAGGGCAAGGCCAGTGGTGGTCTAAAAGCAGAATAGAAACAGGATGACCCTAACTTGCCATTCTGGGTGACATCACCAACCTGTCTCATAGTCCTGTGTTGTGTTGCAGACCCATGCAGCTGACTGCCAATACCTTTAAATGTATTTTTTTTTCCCCATTCTTTTTTAATTTAATTAGCTAGTCTGGAATAGTGCATCTCTTCCCTTACAGCATATATTGACTGTATTCGTTGGCTGCACTTTTTCTGGCAGCTGGAATGGGGAGGGCTGAATACAAACGAAGTCATGACACCATGGATATGAAACTGGAATAGCTTTACTGACATTCAGAGGTGTAACACAACCAGTTCAGAGACAGCTTTAGATTTAAACGTTCCTACAAAAAAAAGGTTCTAAAAACCATTTAAAAAAAAACCTTGTGTCTAGCATGAAGTCACAGAATGTTAAAAATATCACAACACAATAAATACACCCAGCCTTTGCTAGAGCCAGGAGCCATGTCAGCTCAGAGGTTAAAATGTTTGAGGCCAGGAGGAAAGTAGAGGATGCTGGTGGAACAGCAGGGGCAGGAGGGTGTGTAGATTCCCAAGGCACACTCATCTTTTCTGCATTCCAACCCCTACCAACCCAAATTTTTCAGTCCCATCTGCCCCAGCAGGATTTAATACTTGGTTCTTTTTAACAGCAAAGCGAGCTGAGCCTTGCAGCTCCTGTACCAACATTAGCATATGCTGAACAAACCATGTTGTGCTAAGAAGAACCAACTTCGCAAACCTTGTTTGATACAAGCCTCACCTCATCTGAAACCCAGTTTCTGTCCTGGCTCTTCCCTGTAAGCTCCAGTACAATCCCCACTCCTCCTGCCCCAGTACACTCCTCTGAGATGTACCAGGCTGGGTGAAAACACAGACTCCTGTCACCTCCACAGCAAGAGGGTGAGGAGATCTCATTTGTTTTGCAGGTGCTTCAGGTATTGGTCCAGATTTTGTGTACCCTGCACTGGCCGTCATCAGGGCATGGTAAAGACAAAAAAATAAAATCTGTCCTGCTCCCCCTTAAGGATATCCAAGAAAAGCTAGCACGAAGTCAAAGCCTTTCATTTGGCTACGGGTAGAACAAGTTGTATGATCACATATATACACATACATGTGTATATATATATGTATGATGGTGTCTGCCTCCCACAGAGGAGCTGTACCTTAAAAAGGCTGATCTCAAGGAGATCCTAGAGCACTGCAAGGCTTCCTTGGCACACAGCCCTCAGCCCAGCATCCTGGAGGGAAAGGGATCCATTAGAACACGAGTCCACTCGAGACAAGCATGGTAGGCATGACAGCACTGCCTGATGGATCCCCTGCAAAGCCTGGCTACTAGCACCCACAGAAAGATGAAGGTAGCCCCTTTTCACATACTGCACTATACTTTGCACTAATCCTAAACCCCAAAGGATGAAGAAGTGGAGTAAGAGTGACCCAAGGCTATAGGATGACCAGGTTTTACCTAACAGTCTATGGGCTCAGCTCCCACCTTGCAGAGACACAAAAGTCTAAAGATGCTCATCCAGTGTAGGGGAAGGGAAGGAATAAGGGAAAGCTTAACAGACTGGAGCAGATGGCACCACAGACCCCATCCCATTGTAAGGAGGAGGATGGGACAGGACCTGTAAGGGGCTTTATTGAGACAAATGCTCTGAGAGGTGGCAACAAGGAGAATCTAGTGTGCTTACTATGAGAAGAGATGAAATACAAAGAGTAGAGAAGGAGATAGCTGCAGCATCTCAGGCTCAGGGCTCAAAGAGCACAGTGAGATCTTCTCCATCCTCATTTGTCTCCAGCACATCTGTCTCCAGTGATGGCTTCACCTTTTTGAAGAGAGATGGGAGGTTCCGGATATGAACCTCCTTGCGGAACTGCTCCCCAAGTGGCTTCTGCAGAGGACAAACAGGTATCAGTCTTCACCACCCTCAAAGCCCCCAGTCAGCTCAGGGTAGTGTGCCTGCATCTCTGAGGTGGGGGGAATCTCAGACCTCATCTTTCCCAATTGAGCATCAAGGTAACAATCAGCAGAACTACTACCCCACGTTCTAAGTCAGCTCATCAGGATCCAATTCCACCATCTTCACAAAAGCCCAGAACCCACTTCACAGATTTGTTCAAATGTTTCCACAAGCAGTTCCCTACAGGCACCCCTGTCTAAGGTGTCTCAGTGAGATGAGGGGGCAGACAGTCAGAATCTGCTGCAACAGCCTCTTGGCTGGAAAAGGGGGTAGGCAGGGAGAGCCAAGCAGGCTGACTGCCCTGACGCTTCTGCAGGGCACGGGGATTAGATGAAACGTGTTTTCCCCCCAGGATATCACCTACCCCAATGCAACCCGTTATGAGGCGTTTGAAATGATCTTTCCGGCGCTTGTCCGCCACTTTCTGCAGCGTTGGGTTAAGAAGCTTTGAATCAAACTGCTCCAACGAGTCCCTCTGGATGTCTGGGATCTGCTCCATCACCACCTTCAGCTCAGCATAGCGAGGACGCTGCAAGGAGAAGTATGGTCAATGCAGCTGCCCTCCCTGAGGGCCGCTGGTTCCTCTGTGCCCGTCTAAGCAGACAAGGGCTTCCCACCAACCCTCAGACAAGCTGGCATGCTGACAGTTTCTCACCAAGGCCTCGTAGATCTGGAAAGCCAGATGGACGAGAGCTGCCATGCAGCCATCGTGCTGCCCGTGGATCTGTAAGCCCTTCAGCACACTGGTGAAAAACCAGGACACGGCGTCGGGCAGCAAATTGCCTGGAAGCACCTGGGGAAGAGGCATCATCAGCACAGATGCAGGATATGACACGATTGTCCTCCTACAGCAGTTCAGCCTTCTCAAGGGAAAAGGTCCCAGGGGTGAAGCAGCTGCGCTTCTCATTCTCACTACTTTCACAGTTTCCTCTCCCAGTTCTGCCAGAATGTACCTGCACCTTCCTGCTGTATATACCTGTTTGAGCAGTGGCCAGCAAAGCTGTGTTGTGGTTCTTTGGCAGGACAAGGTGTCTTTCCAGGAGAGGGATGCATAGGCAGTGATCATCAAAGCAGTGCAAACATCCTGAGAAGGAGTAAGAGGAGTAAACCAGTCAAGAGATGTTTTCCACCTCTAGGATTTATACCAAAAAGCAGCCAAGAAGCAAATCAAAGAGACTACATCCTGTGTGCTGCTGCTTCTCCAGCTGGAGGAGCTGAAAAGCACCTAATGAGTACCACAAGGTGCAGCAGCTGTGCAGAGTTGTTCCATCTGAAGCCAGGAGCCCAGCACAGGGAGGCAAATCCAGGAAGCGCTGAGGGGGCTGAATGCCCTCTACCTCACCCACAGAACTGCTGACACACTGTAGCTGAATGTTACACTGGATTCCAAGCCCTCAGTGCTTTGTGGCTTCTGCTACAATTAACACAGCCCTCCAAAAACACATATGGTCTGAAAAGAAGTTTCCCACACTGGGGATGCTGAAGCAGACTACCTGCACCACAGAGATGCATGACAAAGAGCGCACAGAAAGGACGGTGGCAATGAAAGCATGCTCTTACCTCCTGCTTCATCAGACACTTTCCAAGCTCCGTCAGCTCTGCACTGGCAGGAGGAGTCACATCCGTGGCCATTGCTTCATCATCTGCACAGGAGAGAAAAGCAGCACTGTGAATGGGGCTTCCTGAGGACTGAGGAAGACACTGCAAGATCTGAGCTGGGAACCCAGGAACAGCACACAGTCAGCCTGCTGGCACAGCTTGCCAGGGCATCTCTCCAAGCAGACAGCACCCACTCTCTGTGGGGCAGGAATTAGCATCTAACTAGCTCCATCCAGCTCTCAGGAATACCCGCTCTTCTGCTCAGCCCTCCTCTTGACCCCTTATGAATCAGCTGCTCCAAAGTGCTACCCCATAAACCACATCATATTGCACATTGACACATAGGCTAGGCTGTTCTTTTGTTCTTTTTCTGTGGTCTTTGGAAACATTGGGCAGGATTTGTGCTGAAAGCTGCACACCACACAATATCCCTCATCATCTCCATCTGCAGGCCAGCCTCCCCTTTCAACAACAAATGAGAAAGGTGTTTGTGTTGCACCAAAAGGGTGGGAAGGCAAAGGTGGGCATTTACTTACCATCTCCGTCCACAGCAACAGAAGAGTTATGCTCAGCACCTCTCTTAGCAACACAGCAAACAGCTGCAAAAACAATTGTTAATTGAGCAGAAGAAACAAGATGCTACCTCAGAACATGCAAAGATGATCCTGCATTCTCTAATGGGCTCACAGCTGCTTCAAGCTTCCTCCAGGTCTC